TATTCAAGTTATAAGTCAATGGGAATTGGACCTTTATAAAAAACCGAAGTCATTATTCAACTTGCTGACCGGTCTTTGGTACACCCGAAAGGTGTATTGGAGGACGTGTTAGTGCAAGTTAATGAGCTTGTTTTTCCCGCTGACTTTTATGTTTTAGACATGGGTGATGAAAACACCCCACAATTGAGCTCCATCCTTTTGGGGAGACCCTTTTATGAGTATCGCATAAACAAAAATAGATGTAGCCAATGGTACTTTGTCAATGGAGTTCGATGGTGAGGTGATCAACTTTAATATCTTTGAAGCCATGCGTTATCCTAGAAATATTCATTCTTTAAACTTCAGATATTTTATTGATTCATGTACTAATGATTGCTTTGAGATGTCAAGCGAAGATGTGCTAACCACCATCTTGAGCAAACACTTTGATGAGACAAGGATTAAGGAGTTGGCTGACAAGTACACATTGGAAGATGAATTGATTGAAGTAATTGATTCCTTGGAGAAAGCACAACCCATGAGAGTTGAACCACCCCGCATGAAGCTAAAAAGTTCTAATCTGAAACTTCTCCCATCCATAGTGCAACCACCGACTCTTGAGTTGAAGACTCTTCCCGACCATCTCAAGTATGCCTATCTTGGAGAGGAAGAGACATTACCAGTGATAATTTTGACCAAGCTGGCACGAGAAGAAGAAAAAGAGTTAGTTGGAATTTTGAAGAAATACAAGGAAGTTATTGGTTGGACCATTGCGGATATAAAAGGGTTGAGCCCATCGTTATGCATGCACAAAATACTGATGGAAGAGGACTTCAAGCCATCCCGTGAAGCCCAAAGGAGGTTGAATCCACCTATGATGGAGGTGGTTAAAAAGGAGATCATGAAGCTCTTGGATGCAGGTATAATCTACCCCATTTCTGATAGTAAGTGGGTAAGTCCTGTGCAAGTACTCCCGAAAAAATCCGGAGTCACCGTTGTCAAAAACTCCGAAGGGGAATTGGTACCCACCCATGTGCAAAACGAGTGGAGAGTTTGTATCGATTATAGGAATTTGAATGCTTCCACCTGCAAAGACCACTTCCCTTTGCCATTCATCGATCAGATGTTAGAACGATTGGACGGGAAATCCCACTATTGGTGCCTTGATGGTTTCTCTGGTTTTCATCAAATTCCGGTTGCCCTGGAAGACCAAAGAAAACCACATTCACATGTCCCTTCGGCACCTTTGCGTATACACGCATGCCCTTCGGCTTGTGCAATGCACCCGCGACCTTCCAAAGATGTATGGTGAGCATATTTTCAGAATATGTCAAAAATGTCATAGAGGTTTTCATGGATGATTTCACTGTTTATGGAAATTCTTTTAATGAATGCTTGCAAAATCTCACCAAAATTCTACAAAGGTGCATTGACACGAACTTAGTCCTTAACTATGAAAAATGACATTTTATGGTTGACAAGGGCTTGATACTTGGACATGTGGTGTCCCAAAAAGGTTTAGAAGTTGATAAGGCCAATACAAATGTTATTAAGAGCTTACCATACCCGACAAATGTTCGGGAAGTACGTTATTTTCTTGGCCATGCAGGTTTTTATCGGCGGTTTATAAAGGATTTTTCCAAGATCACGGTGCCAATGAGTCAACTCCTACAAAAGGAGGCTGATTTTGAGTTTGGTGATTAATGTAAGAATGCATTTGATTTTTTGAAAGAATTGTTGACATCCGCCCCCATCATTCAACCGCCAAATTGGGATCTTCCATTCGAGATCATGTGCGATGGTAGCAATACCGCAGTTGGGGCGGTTTTGGGACAAAAGGTTGATCGAGCACATCATGTCATCTACTATGCATCAAAGACCCTTGATAGTGCACAAGGCAACTACACCACAACGGAGAAAGTGTTGCTTGTTATTGTCTTTGCTCTAGAGAAGTTCCGACAATACCTCCTTGGAACTAAGGTGGTCATATATTCGGACCATGCAGCCATAAAACACTTGCTTACAAAGAAAGACTCAAAGCCGAGGTTAATACGGTGGATGCTGCTTTTGCAAGAGTTTGATACTGAGATAAAAGATAAGAGTGGAAAGGAAAATCTAGTTGCGGATCACCTAAGTCGCATTGTACAGCCCGAAGATGGTATACCAATTTGTGACACATTTCTAGATGAACTTCTATTTGCAGCCAAAGAAGCACCATGGTATGCAGATATCGTCAATTACTTGGTCACAAGTCAATTTCCCCCAGATTCATCCCGTTGGCAAAGAGACAAAATCAAGAAGGAAGCCAAACGATATATATGCGACGAGCCTTACCCTTGGAAGTACTGTGCGGACCAAGTAATTCGTAGGTGTGTTGAGCAAAAAGAGGTACAATCTATCCTTAATTTTTTCCATTTTTATGCTTGTGGTGGTCACTTTGGACCCCAAAGGACAGCTAGGAAAGTTTTAGATAGCGGATTCTTTTGGCCTTCTATTTTCCATGATTCCTACCTGCTTTGTGCACATTGTGAAAAGTGCCAAAAATCCGGATCTTTAAGCTCCAGGAATCAAATGCCCCTTACCCCTATTCTAGTATGTGAGATTTTTGATGTATGGGGTATTGACTTTATGGGACCATTTCCGCCCTCTTTTGGTTGTTCTTATATTTTGTTAGCGGTGGACTATGTGTCCAAATGGGTGGAGGCTAAGGCCACCCATACTAATGATTCCAAAGTTGTGGTCGATTTCCTTAAGGTATAGATTTTCTCACGGTTTGGCACACCAAAGGTGCTCATAAGTGACTGCGGGACCCATTTCTGCAATCGGATGCTAGAAGCTGTTTTGAAGAAATATGGAGTGACACACAAAGTCTCAACAACTTATCATCCCCAAACGAATTGACAGACAGAGGTCTCAAACAGGCAAATCAAAAGCATCCTGGAGAAAACGGTCAACCCAAACCGCAAAGATTGGAGCTTAAGGCTAGATGATGTTTTATGGGCATACTGTACCGCCTTCAAAACTCCCATTGGTATGTCCCCATATAGGCTTGTGTTTGGTAAAGCATGCCATCTTCCAGTTGAGCTTGAGCATAAAGCTTTTTGGTCGGTAAAGAAATTCAACATGCGTGAAGATGAAGTGGGAAATAAAAGGAAACTTGATATCCAAGAGCTAGAGGAGATTCGGAAAGATGCATACGAAAGCAACATGATCTATAAGGAGAAAACAAAAGCATACCATGATAGGGCGATCTCCCGAAAGACTTTTTTACAAGGAAAAAAGGTGTTGCTATACCACTCAAGATTCAAGTTAATCTCAGGAAAGTTGCGATCCAGATGGATTGGTCCTTTCGTGGTCACAAGGGTGTTTGACCATGGTGCGGTGGAAATCACGAGCAAGCAAACGGGTAAAACATTCAAAGTCAATGGTCACAGGCTGAAGCCGTTTTATGAAGGATTTGAGGTGAAGAATGAAGAGGTTGAAGAGTTGGAGAACCCCACGTACCAAGACTGAAGCATATGCAGGGGCAAAGTCGAGCCAATGACTTGAAATAAAGGCAGCTAACCGGGAGGCAACCCGGGGGTATTTCTATCTTTTACTTAAAAACAATTTCCATTTCTTTGAGTTTTTGGTTTTCAATGTTCCAAATGAATTCAATCATGATTTAAAATACCAAACGGACCTAGGAATGCAAAAGTATTTCATTTATAAGAGAGGAAAATTTTCAAGTTCAAAAAGTGAGGATTAGCATCCAGGGACCAACACGGGTCATGTTGGTTTTGTCCTTGACCCAAAACGAGTCGTGTTCATCCAAAAAAGTCCCAAATTCTTCCAGAGAGCAACACGGATCGTGTTGGTTTTGGCCTTGACCCAACACGGGTCGTGTTCGTCCAAAAAAGTCCCAAATTCTTCCAGAGAGCAACACGGGTCGTGTTGGTTTTGGCCTTGACCCAACACGGGTCGTGTTCGTCCATAACTCATCATAAACCCCCCAACACGGGGCGTGTCAATTTAGCCTGGGGAGACACGGGTCATGTTCGCGCAGCAGTTCAGGCCCTTTTTAAAGAAAAAAAATTGGGACTTGACCTCATTTATCCCCACTTTCACTTCCTAACAGCCCCTCTCACCCAACAAAAACCTTAGGTCCGATTTTCATCAAATACCTTTCAATTTCTTCAAGATTTTAACTTTCATCTACAAAAAGGTTTGATTTTCATCATCTACACTTCATCTTCTCCATCTTAAACACCATTTTCTTGCATTTTAATGGTGGATTTGGGGGGTTTTTGGCAAACCCTAGATCCGAAAATCTCATGTGGTTTTGGTGTTTTAGTATCTTAATCTTAAAGAGGGCAAGCTTGGGGAGGTTAAGGAAGATCTTTTTCATCAAGAACAACACAATCCCACACACGATTCGGTAAATCCCTCCCAACTCTTAGCTTTTGGATTTTGTGTTCTTGAATCAAATTATTTAAAATTGTGGTCTATTTGGACTTGATTCTTAGTAGGACATCTTTGAAAACCAAATTTCCCGCGAAATTTTGGTGGCCAAATTCGAAGTTGACTGGACCCGTCAATAGTTGACTTTTGACATTTTAACCTATTGACTTTCAATCTGTCCCAAACTTGACTATGGAAGCTACATCTTCCAAAGACCAAGACAAACCAAATCATCCGCCCGCCGTCGGAAGCCTAGGACTCCATCACCTCCATCCAGATCTCCATCACCTCCATTTAGGTCCCCAACACCCCCGGCCGACCCGTCTCATTGTGGTGTCGTATGTCTTGGCCCAGTTCAACAGGGCAAACTTGAGTCATTCCTTAAACGGGGTCATGCCATCCAAAAATTCGCGCATGTTCCAACCCTAAAAGAGTTGCATGTTTACAATCAAGTCAAAACCCTGTTTCGCAACATAGGGTGGCACGGCTTGTTGAGGGTCCATGAATTGATCTATAAAGTCCCAACAGCTGAGTTTCTATCCTCAGTTTATTTAGACCATGGGATCCTCTACTTCCATCTAATGAATCAAGACTATGAGATCTCCTTGGATCAAATCAATGCCATTGTGGGGGCCCCAACGGAAAACACATTTGGCCCCACTGACCCAATCCAAGGATACTTTGACATGACTTGGTGGTCCCAACTCACCCAATTACACCCATATGTCTCTAGCGCTGCTAAATCCTCATCACTTATCCATCCTGTGATTAAGGTAGCCCACAGAATCATTGCTTCGCTCGTCGCCCCTAGAGAGGAGCGCAGCACCATCAATGCGCTGGAACTCAAAATCCTTTATGTAATGACCCATCCCGAGAATAACCTCATTCCTCATTATGGTCGGTTTCTATGCCACAAGCTCATCCGCCTTAGCACATCCCGATCGTGAAAGATTGTTTGCGAGGGTATTGTCAGCATGCTCGCCAAGAGCGCCCACATCCGAGCCCCATACCCCGGTCCCCATCAGCCACTACCAGGTGAGCCTTATCTCACCACTACTGTCCTTGAGTCCATGCGACTCTTCCATTCGGCAGGCGATGGCACACACCATTGGATCGTGGGTCAAAATCATGATCCAAAGCTCCTCATCACACCAGAAAATAAAGGCATTCTTGATTTCCGAAATCCCATTCGCATGAACGATTGGCAAATCATTCCATACATCTTCCCCCAATCATACTCCACCGAGGTAGATGAGCAAAATGAAGAAAACGAGGAAGATGGTGATGATGATGAAGAAGGGGAGGAGCCTCACCATGCTTCTCCCATTGGTGGTGGCAGCTCATCCCATTTTGCTGCACCCCCGCCTTATCATCAACAATATATGGATGAATTCCAATCAATCCATACCCGCCTCGACACCTACCAGCAGGATATTACCAGCCTGACCCAGAATTTTTCCACCTTCACCACCCAGTACGCTTGGGATCAAGAGCGTCAACGCAAACATGAGGAGGACTTATGGGCTTCGACCCGAAACCCTAGCTACTATCCTCCTCCTCCACCTCCGTTTTAGGTTGTTCCACCCTCTCCAGGCATTGGGGACAATGCTTATCTTTAAGCTTGGGGAGGGGTAGACTTGTATATTAGGTTCACTCATACTCATGCATGCATTTTCTTATTTTCAATTTTTTTTATTTCATCTAAAAAAAAAACTTATTTTCTCTTTTCTATTTTATTTTCTTATTTATATTTTCCTTGCATTCTATATTTGCTTCCAAAAAAAATGTACGAGATGATGACACTCTTTACATACAATTGCTCCATGAAACGAAAGAATTCCGAGGCGATCGGGTAGTTACCGGAAGTGTAGAATCAGTTGTCATAACTAGGGGACCCAAATACCGTAATTCGAGACCCTAGCCTTAGATAATAAAAAGAATTTATATTGAAACATTTTTTGGGCGATAATAACAGCTTTAGGAAGATTTGCTTTTGAATGTTTAAAAAGAATCTTTATCGGCAACTCTGAACCCACAGAACACGGACCTATTTGTTGATACGCGTCACCCCCGCGGTAACAGAGAGCTTAAGTATCAGACCCACACAGTCAAGAAAGAAGGAAGGGTAAAACTGTCATATCTAGTACCCTAATCAGAATTTCAAATGCCAAAACGAAGAAATCTAAAGAAATTCCAAAAATGAAGATTGAAGAATCCAAATTCAAAACGCAGTACAAATCAAAGTTCAATCAAATCAAAAGCCAATTCAAGTCAAATATGGCGAATGGAGAACTATGTGATATGATACTTGTGGCTCTCAAAAAAGTGAAAGCATAGGAGTTGAGCCCCTTCGGGTGGGCTCACTGTTTCAGCGAAATCTGATTCGCCATGACGGGTTCTTAAGGATGCGTCGATTCTGATTCTTGGCCATCTAGTCTTAAGGACATGAAATCCGGACTATGTTATTTTCGCCCATAAAGCTTAGTAAGGTATAAAGATTAAATAAAAATTTGGTTGGATTATTGGGTTACACCGTTTCGGGTCTTCCTCACATTGAGAGTATGTGATATGTGGAAGGAAACAGGATACTTACCAAGGTATCAATGATCGGAGCCCTATCGATGTAAAGTCTGATCGTACCTTTATTTAGTTACAAAAGTACATATTTTGTGTTTGTTCTTAATCTTCTTTTCTTTTGCTTCATTTTGTTTCTCAAGTGCATTTTGTACATACCTTAATTTTCATGGCATTACATTGCATACATTCATTCTTAACCTTTAGGATCCTTCATCCCCTTTTCGTTCTAAGTTTTTCATTTTGCAATCTAGAAATCGTCCTGTTTGTCCGGTTCTTGTTCTTTCTTGAGGACAAGAAGGGTCTAAGCTTGGGGAGATTTGTTAGGTGCTATTTGTGCACCTTTTTGCGCACCTTTTAGTCCCATTTTATGCATATATTTAGCACAATTGTTCTTCCTTTTCCTTGCATTTTATCATATTCATGTTAGTCTCTAGAACAACCTTATTTGCACACTTTTATATTTTTTTCAAGTAAACCAGAGGTTGGAACGCGCTTTGGGAAGTGTCGGGAAGCATTGGTGAAGATTTCGGGATGATCGGGCGAAGAACGAAAAAGTTGGAAAAATCAAGTTTGGAATTGGAGTCAGAGAGGTACACGGGGCGTGTTGAATTTACACTGAAAGTTGCGCACGGGGCGTGTTTGACCAAAATGGGAGCTGTTGACCATCCTGAACACGGGGCGTGTTAGTTTAGGGCAAATCAACACTAGGCGTGTTGCTGAACACGACCCGTGTCAGTTTAGTCTATTTTAACACGGGCCATGTTCGACCCAGAAACCAACTTTTGACAGTTTTTCCTATCTTTCATATTACGGGTTGAGGGTCATTTTTATATAGACAGAACATATCAGAGCACCATTGGAGAGGAGAATTCCAAGGTTTTTGCAAGGGTTTGTCCGTTAATCATTTGGAAACATTAATTCTTGTTTTTGTAAGTTGTAATTACACTTAATTTCATCTTTTAGACTTGTGAACTTGTTCTAGCCATGTGTGGCTAGAACCCTAATTTCTCCAATTTCATGTTTTGACTTCTTGGTAGTGACTTCAGTCATATGACATGATATTTGTTTTTAATTTCTATCTAATGAATTTGATTTTGCTTCAATTGAATGTTTGATTCTAATTATGATTCTTATTGGCCATTTTAATTAGGGTTAGGTCATTCAAGTTATCTCTTTCACAAAATCCGTAATTGTTTTGTGAAATTGAACAAGTAACAAGCATTTAATTGATCTCTATTGAATGAATTTAGTGTATATCTTATTCATACACTTTTACACTCCCGAGCATATGAGGAGTATTGGGTGTTGTTGGGAACATTCACATAAAGCTTCATGCAATCTTATAATCTAATTCTAAGAGCTTGTTTAGATTAGGTTAATAAGGTTAGGGTTAATCAAAAAGCTTGTTTTGATTAATTAATATGGTGAATGGGAAGTGTTAGAGCTTATTAGAACTTTCAAGTACCAACTTAGATAGAATTGAACGAATATTGTGTCATATTTGAGTCACATTGCTAAATTATCATACACGGGGTTGGAGTCCTTACAAATTCTGAATTTAATTCACGCATTTATTTGATTGCTTATGTTATTAATTGTTTGTTTAATCATTACATTCTAAACCCCCCTCTCTTTACTATTGGTGACCATAGTACCTTGTGCAAATAGGTATAGACCAATTGTCCCGTGTCTCGGTGGATCGACCCTGCTTGCCTTGTGCTACCTTTTAGTGCAATATAGTGAGATTATTTTGGAGTATATCGTACCCCTTTATTTGTTGGGTTTGACACGCCTAACACGCTGCAAATAAGTTTCGAGGGCTTCTCCAGGGATATAATCGAAAATGTTGAAATTTGTCTTAACATATCCTGACGACTCTCTTTCATGTTTCAACTCCCTCGTAGACCTTAAAATCAATTTAAAAACACAACTAGAAGCCAAAATCAAACTTAAAAGTCAAACCCTTTGATTATAAAAGTCAACCTTAAAAGTGAAATTTAAAAAGTTAAACTCAAAAGTCAAACTTGAAAAGTCAAATTTAAAAGTCAAACTGAAAAGTTAAATTTGAAAATTTCATAGTTAAACGAAAAAGTCAAAGTTTAAAATCAAAGGTCAAACTTGAAAGTTAAAGTCAAAATTTAAGGTCAAAAGTTAAAAAATAAAAGTCAGAAATAAATAATTTTTTTTATTATTTTATTATTATTATTATTATTATTATTATTATTTTGATGAAAAAAGAATTTAAAAATAAAAGAAATTTAATTTTTGGGGTAAAAATGACAATTTTGCAAAACTTGGAACCGAAAAGGAGTGTTTTTGAGTATAGAATGCGGAGGAAAGGAACAAAGTTGATGATAGAGGAGTTGGTTGAGGCACTGGATGATGGATGGGAGGTTTCGAGTTCGACTCTCGCAGCCTCCAAAACTTGCGTCGTATTTTTCTTAAGTGCGAAAATTTTGCCATTTTTTGCTCCAAAACTCAATCAAAAACCCTTTTTTATGAAAAACACAAAGAACAAACCCCCCTTATTTTTCAGAGATCTATCTAAAAACGCAAGAATATTTTGAAAATAAGATCAAATAATGCTCCAAATCTGACAAACTTGACTGATACAACTTGGCTCTGATATCAATTGTAAAGTCCCTAATCTGTCTGTTTATCAATCAGATCCATTTGATGGTGCGGAATCCCAATCAAACGGATGATGTTAGATAAAATAGAAGAGAAGAAGAACAGGAATAAGATGAATCTCAATGTATTAATGAATAGAATGATGATCCCGATACAAGAGATTCACACACACACACTAACACACAATAGTTCTTCTATTTCTCTGGTCATAAACTCTCTAGGGTTCATCCGTATTTACTCCTCACCCTAACACCTATATTTATACTAAGGGAACATGGGCCGGAAACAAATGGGTCATAAATGAGTTTACGGCCGCAAGGTGTTTACGGCCGTAAACTCAGCCGTAAACATGACCATAAACTCCAAAAATATTATAGAAAAATACAATTGCCAATAAAAGCAAAGTATAAACCATATTTTGACCCAACAAAATCGGTCTTTTCTGGTTGTGAAAATGGGGATGTCACAGTTTTATATCAGTGTATCCTAGAAATCAAAATCATAAAATGTGAGAAGGTGCACGATCACGCCTTCGTCTTTCTGCGATCATCCGAAGTACCTGAAACAAAATCCAAAATTGTAAGCACAAAGCTTAGTGAGTTCCCCTAAAATACCAATGTCATACGAACCATGACCATATCATAACAAAGAACATGCATATAGATTCTACAGTTTGACTGGACCGCCCTCACCGGGCTTCAGTCTGTCTGGCCCACTCTCAGAACCTTCAGCGTGTTTG